TTTTTTGTTGTTTTGTTTTTTAGGAACTATGGTACATGTCAATGTCTTTTTATTAACATTTGAATGCAAGGTGACAACATTTAAAGCAAAGCAACCAGGAGATATGACAGGACCTCTGACAAGTATGTTAGTTTCTGGGAAAGAAAATAGTAGCCACTTGTTTAAAGAGAAAGTGAAACATTACACTATATAATGAGCAGTATATTGAATTTACGGAGTTGTCATGAATCATATACAGTGAGATAAAATGCCAAATGTATCTGTGGAGGACCAGTCAAGTATATCTTAGGGCACATACTGATAACATGAGTTACTGCCTCACTCTCGTTCCAGACCAAAGAGAGACCAAAGAAAGGCAAGGGGCAGAAAATATTCTACAAGTGGGAGCCACGAAATTGGTTCACTCCAGCATACTCACATGGGGTATGACTGGAGAAGAAAACAAATATGATATTTGGTTTGAGCTTCCATTTCCCAGTTTCAGTTCCTGGAATAAAGATACTGCATTGCTGATGGGAAGCTGCCAGCCATATCTGATGGAGAAGATACCTGTTAGGCAGAAAGTTTTCATGAAACATTTACTTCATTTTTGATGCATAGGAAAAACCAACAAAAATTAGATGCCCACTAGTGCCTGTTCTTTTCTGATGAAGTCTATGAGGAGCCAATCAGTTATATTTCTACAGGTAGACGGGATCCACCACACTCCATAAACACTAACACATCATTGGAACCTTAATAACAGACCTCAAAAGGCTGGATTCAGTGGAGTTAACTATCTCCTCAAATCGTTTATCTAAGGTCCCCTCCTCCCACTCTGTATTTTTACCAGCACTTTACTCATCCGATTCTGTGAGAGCCAGTTTAGTGGCATCAAACCGCAAGAAATGTACTCGTTTCTGTAGCGTTACTATTCTCCTGACTTAGTTCCTTGAACCAGCTTATCCCATGTGAACAAGAGGACCGACATGTGGGAAACAGCAAAAAGGGTACCCTTGACAGCTAGTCATCAGACCAGCACTGATGTCACATGAAATCAGATCCTGTTTCTTCACACAGAGGCTCTACAAGAATGAGGAAGAAAAAAGCTTTTGTGAAAGGGCCTTAACACCACCTAGAAGTGTAAAAATTAGGTTAAACTCCTCCTAACAAAGGGAAAAAAAGTGTTGCCTACACAGAAGTAACACTGTCTCTTTCATTACGTTCTCATCCCTGAAGCTGCAAAATCTGGCTATTTCAGCTATAGGTCAAAACCATTTGTATCACAACAAACAACCTTAAGTGGCACTGAATAACATCACGTGAACTTCAGGCCTCACCTCTGGAAGCTCCTCTTGGCCACAATTTCAGCATGACTGTCATTCAGAATGTCTCCTAAAGGAACAACCAAATGAGAACAACATGTATCATTACTGAAAAGGAGACGAACAAAGCAAACAGTGTGACAGATGACAGTTCTCCAGATTTGTTAGCATTTGAAGGTTTAAAATTGGTATTAGGTTATTCTAAGAAATTTAAACTTCCAGTCACTACAAAAGGAGGTCAACAGCCTACACAAAGGAAGGATACAAGTATGCACACCACAGCAAGTCAGAGACTTGTTTAAATACCAAATTTTAACTCTTCTGACAACTGAAATCCTTTGAGTTGAATAAACACTGGCTTCCTTCAAAACCTTCCTGATGTCTGCTCTTAATAGTAAATTTTGATGTTCTCTGATTAAGCATAACATCCAGAAAATTTCAAGTGCTTGTTAAGCTTCTGGTTGAAGTTTCTTGTTGCACTATGTCTTATAATTTGAATTACTTTTCTTGTAAATAATTCTGGTATTTACCAGGTTTACACATCTCATCTTCAAACTTCCTGCAGTGTCTGCCTATTGTGGTATCTAAAGGAACAGGATCTGTAGATCAGATTTTATTTCAGGAATAAAAGGCCAGGTGATAAAAGTCCTCTTTCAAGTTCTCTAACAGATAACCATTAACATGACCTACCAACCAAGTTAATTTAAAATTAGATGAACATTATAAGAGGAAAATATTTTCTAAATATAAGATCACTGAAGACAAACAATAGAGAGGAACTAGCTTTACTTTTTTCTTGTCAAATTTCTACTTTGACTCTTAATACCCAGATTGTAAGTAGTACAACAGTTCAGCTGCAATTTTCCTAAATCAGTCAGAAAAGTGTCTGTACTAATACTCTTCTAAGATGGCTAAGTCACAAGAAACATCCACAAAAATCTAAGATACAGAATTTAGTTTCTTCTGTTTTGCTCCACTCGTTCATTTCAATATGAAGGACATTCTTCAGACCACGAACAGCCTAAAGCTGATGCACACAAAACCATTTCTCCTATCTGGCTCTAATCCTCCTCTGAAGTCTAAAGAAGGTAGAAAGCCCTGTACCTACGTATTCACACATACTTTTCCTCCTTAGTCACTTTTCAGCGTTAATTACTATGGTTTCTCCCCTCTCCTAGGAGAGGGGACAGATACATTCTGAATAAAAAAAAATGGACATGCAGGGCAAGGAAAGTCCTACAATAAATGGCAAGAAACGGTAGCAGTGGGAAGTCATGTGTCTGTCCCATACGTTTATTGCACAAACACTTAAAACTATCTAGCTACAGAATATCCGTTAAGGGAGAAAAAGCCTGTTAGTACCTTTCTGGTGTCACCCCTACCCTAACTCAGCAGTGGTATCTTTTGCATCAGACCACAACAAAACTAGACTGTAACAGGTGACTGAAGCACAATTACTTTGCTTATGTTTTGTTTTGCTTTTAGTTAACAAGTCTTTGGGTATGCAGACTCAGGGCCTAAACTGCACATTTCCACATATAAAAAAGTTCATTCACCTTTAAGGCAGCAAGTGCAGAAACTTTCAGGGCAGCCATTCTGGCTACCTAAGCCCCTCTCTTCTTGATGAGGTAAGGTCTACCGTACACTTCTGGCTTCAACCCAGAAGCCTGAGCTCAATGCCTTGGACATTTTCATTGGTTCTATGACACTAGCAAGAAAGAAGGTAGCATAGGTAGTCTGTTCTTGGATTTTACACCATACTTACCGGTTTTTCTCATTTTGTTTTGGCCAATACATTTTGTTCCAGTTCCCATAGCAACAACTTCCTTCATTACTGAAAAAAGAAACAACATTAACTGAACGAACTATCGCCAGCTGCATTGCTCTCATACAGTCATTCTGGCAAGACAACACACGGAACATTGTGTAGAAGGGAAGGCAGGCCATGCACCATCCAGAAAGGAAACAGTATCAGCTGGAGAACTGAACAGAGTAGGCAGAAGCACCAGTGCTAGGAAAAAGCTACCACTATGATCCCATAGCAGGAGTGCCAACACAGGCTTGATATGCTAGGCAACATACATTGGAGACTGGCATAGGATTCCTCAAAAATGTGAGAGAGAAGCATGGGATACAATCTGCATGACAACATGGAAGTGCCAGTAATGGAAAAGAAGATGACGGTGAACTAACAGAAACACACAATGTAATAATGCAGTCTGTTAAAAAGAGAGCGAACTGAGACCTTTCTGGGTTCTTTCAAATAGTAGCCAAACACACATTTGCAAGACTTTGTGTTAGGAATTCAGGTCCTGCCCAGACTTTTGCCACTTATTGAACAGCCAAATGCAGGCTTTATATCTTCTTAGTTACAGTCTGAGAAGAACAGCATTTCACTATAACCATCTCCTTCCAGACAGAAGCTGTAAAACCTTTTTCAGTCACAAAAAGTAAAGAATTTGGGTGGAGCCATAAATGGGACAGGAAGGGGGGTATGTTTTTTTTTTTAAAAGGTATCTTGAAAAAAAAGGAAAGCAAAAGGAAAAAAGCATCAAGGACTGCCACCTCCCTCCTTCCACCCCAATCCCCACAACTCCTTCTTACCCTGCAGATTCCCTGGACTAGCAAGAACCTCTCTTTGGGTTGCAGACTCCACTTTGACAACAGCTGCCAGTAAAGTCCATTCCCTGTTTGGATCTGGTTTCCCCTGCTTAGGGAGTCTGGTCCTATAATGCAGGTAACATAGCTCAGCAATTTCATCAGCTGACCACATGGCTCCTGGTGCAAGTGCAGGTTCTAAACAGAAGTGGATTCCATCACAACACTGAATGACAACCCCCATCTCTTCAAACCCTACTGCCTTGTTCTGCATGACACCTTCACCTTCCGGCACCAGAGTCCAATATCCAAGGTTTAACTGCATCACCTCTTTCAGGGCTATTTATAAGAAATAGACCATATGAAAGAAAAAACTTTTTTTCCAAATCGCTAGGAATAAAAAACAATGCTAGAACCCTAGCCCAGCAGCAGGTGAGATTGCTGGGTTCCCACTATGCAGTAGTCAACAGCGTTCCTCACACCACCGGCCCCGTGCGGTTCCTGCACCACATCCGAGGCGCCTG